AAGACAGCAAATTAAAAATCTTAAGACCCTCACTTAATGCTCATAATATAAAGCTCCCATGATTCTATACCTAGAAGAACACCATTTAATGTTCAACTGTAGACAAACATACAGGCAGTGTTGGGGATTAGGCTAACTACATACATGCAATTTAGTCAAATAATTGAATTACAACATACTGTAAATGTAAGTGTTATCTGTTACAGTTAGGCCTACTGGTAAAATATGTAATTAAATCACAATTTCTTATGAAAATGTTTAAGATGCCATATGAATATTTTCTTTAATAAGATTGGCTATATATTGAATAATATTCTTTTTGTTGTATTATGTGTATTTCATATGCACGTTGTCTTCCTTTGCCATTTCCAGCCACAGTTGTTTAGTAAAGTTTGTTGCTGTTCTGGTGCTTTTCATTGGTTCTCATGTTTGAATTTGCAGCACTCAATTAAACTGCCTCTCAAGCTGTGTTTTTAAAATGGTTAACCATTGAAAAACAAAACATTTATGGCAGCATCAAATATGAGGAAAACATTGATGTAAATAAAACATGTAGGCCTAGCTTGTTGTTTAGCTAGTTTTTAGTTTAAGTTAGAGCTATAGTCTATTAACGAATAAATGTAAAAACACACTCAATGTAATATTTAATTAAGTAAACCCCACAATTAATTGAGTTTTTGAAGTTTCTGTTGTAACGTCTATTGCAGTTTTCATCCACTAGATGGTGCCATTGTCTTTGAATAGGCCTTGTGATGAGTGTTTTTAACCATTTGATGTGTATGTGAGCATGGCAGTGTGTTTGGTTTGTGTCACTGAGTGTGATGTAGTTTTAGTGTAGCCTATAAAAATAGTGTGTACAAGTTCACAGCAGACCAACAGAAACAGTGATAGCTGCCATTTGGCTGAACAATTGCTGCTGCTCATTTTCATGAAACGTTTTTTATTTTTTTATTAGAAATTGTATTAGCAAATGTATACTTATTTTGGATAATCTATCTATGCTATTGCAAGGTATTCTTCGGGGCTTTTTTTCCCTTACTCAGGACATATTGAGGATACAAAATCAGTTGAGTTTGCTTCTGTTGCAATTTGTTCAACCTTTTTTCATAAAATGACTGGACTACTAAGTTTCTGTTCATTTAAGAGGTTAAGGTTTAAGGTTCAAGGTTGACCCCCATTTTGGCTTAATCACTCCACCTGCCCTTATGAGTCCCTCCATCACTCCACCTGCCCTTATGAGACCCTCCATCACTCCACCGGCCCTTATGAGACCCTCCATCACTCCACCGGCCCTTATGAGACCCTCCATCACTCCACCGGCCCTTATGAGACCCTCCATCACTCCACCGGCCCTTATGAGACCCTCCATCACTCCACCGGCCCTTATGAGACCCTCCATCACTCCACCGGCCCTTATGAGACCCTCCATCACTCTACCGGCCCTTATGAGACCCTCCATCACTCTACCGGCCCTTATGAGACCCTCCATCACTCCACCGGCCCTTATGAAACCCTCCATCACTCCACCTGCCCTTATGAGTCCCTCCATCTCTCCATCTGTCCTTATGAGACCCTCCATCACTCCATCTGTCCTTATGAGTCCCTCCATCACTCCACCTGGAGTGACTCTCCATCACTCCACCTGCCCTTATGAGTCCCTCCATCTCTCCATCTGTCCTTATGAGACCCTCCATCACTCCACCTGCCCTTATGAGTCCCTCCATCACTCCACCTGCCCTTATGAGTCCCTCCATCTCTCCATCTGTCCTTATGAGACCCTCCATCACTCCACCTGCCCTTATGAGTCCCTCCATCACTCCACCTGCCCTTATGAGTCCCTCCATCTCTCCATCTGTCCTTATGAGTCCCTCCATCACTCCACCTGCCCTTATGAGTCCCTCCATCACTCCACCTGCCCTTATGAGTCCCTCCATCACTCCTCCTGCCCTTATGAAAGTATAAAATACGATTTAAATGAGTATAGCTGAATGCATAACTATTGATTTAAAATAAAACATGTTTTTTTTCACAATTACATTTTTTGCTGGTCTGGTCATTTCATGGACACACCCTATTTACACTTGACAAAACATGTGTCTGTGTTCCAAAAATAGATACTATTTCTGATAAGGCTTTGATGTAACACTGAATATCTGATTATTCACAACCAATAGAAGAGTAACATTTTAAATTATTTTTTACACAATATACAGAGGCTGTGGAGCCACCACCAGTATTCTGACTGTTTGAATTGAGTGTGACCAGAAATGGTTACTGAGTTCTGACTAGCCCTGTGTCAAAATTAAGTGTTATAATTCTGTTTGCAAATTTGAAGTAAAACACCTTGTCAATGCCATTGTCATTTGTAGTATTATTCTTGATGTTACCTAAATCAATAAAGAAAAAATGCTTTTTTTTTGAAGATGGGGAGCAATATAAACTATATTATGCCATCTTTATTTAATTTATCAGGGGTAGCATATTCTAATAGACTAATTATGATTTTTGACGATCAGCCAGTGTCCTGACGGCATGGCCAACAGCAAAGTTGCACAGATTTATGGGCAGGGAAATGGACAACGCTTGTGGAACACGCACATGCGCAGAACCCGGTAGCATAAATCGACAGAACACCGAAAAAAGTAATTTGGACAACCTTACTGATAAAAATCTACAAGAAGTAGGCCCTACTAGTGGCAACATTTTTTCTTCATTTGTTGTAAACTGTATAAATTGTTTGCAAAAAGTGTGGTCCTCTCTCGATGGTGATTGTCTAAATGCATGAAATCTCCCGCTGGCCCATCACCAAAAGTGACGTTATGTCATATTTTTAATAAATTACCACTTGTGCATTATTTAACAATGTGCACCCTAGATGCCAATTGCAATCTTATGATATTCAAACATTAACTCACGAGATATTATAGACTTTTTCAGCCTAAAATGCATTATTAAATTGTGCAATTGACAAAAAATGCAACAGTGCCATCATGTGATGAAATAACAAAACAGCAAGACATATTGAATCACTCCACTGAAGAGAACAAATAGGAAATATTTTTTTCCTCTATATTAGTATAACAGTATTAACAATGCAACATACAGGAATACATATAGTCTATGCTTACAACGCATAAAAATACAAACTGCAAATAGGAAAGATGAAAAAGAGAAGATTTGATGGTTACTTTCTAGAGGGGAGGTTAAAACTATGTAAAAGTGTTTTGCCTCAAGGAGGTCATTGAACAGTGGTCATATTTCTAGAATATTTTCACACTTCCTTTTAGTTTGATTTACAAAAGAGCCTTTTACAAATTTGGACATAGACATCATATCAACAAAGCTAAAGTAGCCTAGTGTTTTTTTAATAGTACAAACTTCTCAGCTGACATAACTTACAAATTTAAGCTCATTAATATCTTCGAATAAATATCCATTAGATTACCGTCCTTTTAAATTTCTATGTAAAATTAAATTTTACAGCAACACTTTTAATGAAGGCTGGAGCATGTAGGCCTGTACACACTCCAGTCCAGTTGGTGGCGCTAATGCACCTCTCAGCTAGTTTGCCAACCGACAATAAAAATGAAGAAGAAGTCGAAGTTTGAGAAAAAAAAAAAAAAATCAAGGCTGACGGCGATGGGCTTATCGACGACGTTGTGCACTGACGGAGTACCCTATCCACATCCACACACGTAGCTGTCACACGACAGTCTACTTTGTTAGGTTATCTGTGGCACACAGTGCCAACTCACACCAGGAGCATTTCAGACGCGAAGCGACTGGATGCGCGAGACCACGTGATTTGCCTGTCCGGCGTGGTTTTTCTTGATTTTTGTGTGTCTACCTACAGTCTATGGATTTTACCGAGGATATATTGGTGTGCAATACAATTGGGATTCTGCACAGGGTGTTTATTATGAAATTGACAGTGTTTTTTTTACTTTTATTTTGTATTTACGGTGCGGCGTCCGTCAAAAATAGACTAGGCGCCTATATTTAGCGAAGCGGCGCGGAGAGCAGCTTCTGGGAAGCTTCTGAAACGCGCCGCTTCGCGGCCGGTGTAAACACACGCATTGACTAGAATGGCCGCGATCAGCTCCGGTAGCCGTGTCGCAGCCGTAATGCGCCGCAGACGTGTGCAGTGTAAATGAGGGGTCAGTGCGTAGGGTGATATACAGAAGTCACATATATTGAAATATATTAGTAATAAATACATTTCCATGTATTTAAATCTATAAATTCTAAATAGAAGAAAATATATGTTTTACTTGTATTTAAATACATTTTGAAATGTATGTTAAAAATATATTTAAATATTTGATTTTGGCCCCTTTTTAATATTTTTCACATATATTAAGCATATGTAAATATATTTTTATTGCAAATATTTAAATATATTTATTTTCTTAATATGTCAATATGTTTAGATATCCATCTATGTAAATACATTAATGTTCAATATATGTGCATATATTAATTTATAATATATGTTAATATATTAGTTATCTGTATATGTAAATATATTAATTTATAATATATGTTAATATATTAGTTATCTGTATATGTAAATATACTAATGTATAATATATGTTAATATATTAGTTATCTGTATATGTAAATATATTAATTTATAATATATGTTAATATATTAGTTATATGTATATTTAAATATACTAATGTATAATATATGTTAATATATTAGTTATCTGTGTATGTAAATATATTAATTTATAATATATGTTAATATATTAGTTATCTGAATATGTAAATATATTTAGAAATGTACTGTTCAAATATTTAAGTAATGCCCCATAGCATGAGTGTCTCCATATGTAAATATTTTCATATATATAAAATGTTACCCTCCCCTGTAAATCAAACAGTCAAAATGCCATTTTCCAGGAATGCAAAGATGTTGACCCAGTGGACATAATCAAAATGTGCCAGTTATTGGACAATGTATTAAGGGGTTACAGAGAACACCTACGACACAAACATAATGTGGAATTTTTATTTATGTTAACAAAAAGTAAAAGTACACAGCATACATAAAATTATCTGCACAATAACAAAATTATTATAAGTATACCAAAAAATAAAATAATAAATAAATAAAATATAGACTTTCTCAGGCTACTTTCCTGCTGGGACACGTCCCCTCAGTCGGAGGGGCAAAACATCCTTAAGCATTACTGGCTTTAATAAGGGAAATTGCAAAAACAGGATCAAAACAAGCAACAAAAATTGTTGCAGTTGGACTCGACACTTATACATAGGCTACTTACCAAAAAGACTGTGGTCAATGGACATTGACATATGCCCAGGAATGGGGTTCATAAAAACTGGCAAGAACTTTACAGTTATCCAGAATATTAGATGGTAAATATTTAATTGATGAGTTGCCAATACAATATATGACCCAGGATATGATTTTACCCCTAAATTCAACATAATTTTAACCCATTCACTCCGCTGCCTGGATCCCCAGCCGTTTCTGCGAATTGCAGCAATCTATTTGCTTCTCTTTTCTGTAACTTTTGGCAGTCTGTAAAAAGATAGTTCTTGTTAAATCTATTTGTACAGTCGAACACACAGCTCTTAAGTGCATACCCTCTTATTCTGGAACCTCAGGTCTGACAAATTATTATTCATGGCCTGGCCCAACTGTATAACAGCTGCCTTCTCATGCCGATTTATGGCAGCATCTGTAAAAGAAAACAAGAACGAATGTTTGTCAGTGGTTACTTGAGGTGGTTCTGGTTAGATTGCTTTATTAAGTAAATTATAAGTAATAATATAATAAAAAATAAGTACATTATTAACATTATACTATAGGTGTTCATGTGACAGGCTATTTCAGGGTATACAGGGTATTTCTGTAAAGTTTCAGCTGTAAATGTATATAAAGGACAACTCTAGGACCAAACTCTTTTTAAAAGTTTTAATGTAAAAAAACAATAATAGCTTACCGTGAAATGATGTAGTCTTTCCTTCACAAACAAATCAATTTGTTCTAAAACATAAGTTTAACACATTTAGTACAACACATTTAATGTATGCATTTAATTACCAACATTGTAACAATACAAAGAGAGTTAAAATTTCTGTGACCTTACCCTAAAGGCAATGATTATATAATATAGGGTTAGTTTTTGGCAGTTTTGTATATCCATCTTGTGTTGGTGTCATCAGAAGTCTTCACAAGTGAGGCTGAATCCAAACTGGAAGTGGCTTAATATCTAATAACCTTGGGATGGGCATACCAAGATAAAAACAGGAAATCAAAAGAAGAAAGATTAGCATAGCTGGAGAGCTACACAATTAATCATTAAAATATCACGATTTTGCTTACTTAGGTTTATGTGGTATAAAATTACAATCAGATTTTTTCAAGATCCCTTAGTAAATGTATTATTTGTCCTCATTGCTCAGAGAACAGACAGTCTCTTTGGAATAAACTACATATGCTACAGTATCATTTAAGTGAGAATAGGGCTGGGTGATATATCGCACGATATTGTTATGCGCATCTCGTCAATAAAGCCGGTTCCTTGATTAGTAGTAAATCGCCTTCACCTGCTTTCAGATGGAGCGGCATTTACTACAAAGAGCCGTAGTTAACTGACAAGCTGAGCCATATCGCACTAATATCGCGGACGTATCGCCAGCGATATTTAATGCGATATGGCTCAGCTTGTCAGTTAACTACGGCTCTTTGTACACAGCAAAAACTCCAATGTTAAATTAAAACTCCTGGGAGTGTATATGAGTCCACACTCAAGAGTGTTAAAGTTAATGAGATAATTAAGTGATTAATTGAGTGATGATTGAGCATCTAAAGAAGGAGACAATCTCAAATTGTAAGCCACCGTTATGGCGATCATTGTTTGCTTTAGTTGGGCTCTTGACCCTTAGATTAATAACTTTAGATTTTGTTTGGCTGTTGTACCTGAGTTATAACTGCCAGATCAACAAAGAAAAAAAAAAGATCTAATTATGTTGGTTATATTAAGACAATCATCATTTGATCTTTATGTTTGTGATTTATGCTGTTGGTTACAGCATAACTGTGATTCTGCATAAATATCCAGAATTTTAGATATAATGTAAAGGATTTCTTAAGAGTTGTTTAAAAAAAAATCTTTCTTTTAGGCACGCACAGACGTCAAGATTCAGTCAATGCATCTTAACAGTGGTGACGAGCAGAATATTCAATTAGGAAAAGTAAATTACATAGACAATTCAGATCATAATTTATTCATACCGCAATGCATGATGGGAGCCATTAATGAGTTGTGATTGGTGGCAGCCACTGCAACATGCATTATTATTGTCACCATTGTTGAGATTCACAGGCTGATTATTGATGTCTGTGTTTCTAAATAAATTCATTTGAAACTGTTTTGATCAGAACAATGTTTATTAAATATTTTGGTTTATAAGAAAAAATACTGATAATCATATGCTGTAGAATCACAAAGCTGTTGCTAATGAGTTAAACCAAACTATCTCAATAAGTTTCATTTTTCAGATCACAGCATGATTATGCCAAAAACATAACCAACACTATCAGATCACACTTTTCTGTGTTCATTTGACTGTTATAAATCAATAACAGCAGACAAACAAAATTTAAAGTGAAAGTATAAGGGTCAGAGTCCAACTAAAGCAAACACTGATCGCCATAACGGTGGCTTACAATTTGTGATTTTCTCCTTCAGTGATTCTGCTTGTTAACATCAGGTGTCTTCAATAATGCTCAATCATCACTAAATTAATCACTTAATTATCTCATTAACTTTAACACTCTTGAGTATTAATTTAACACTCATATCTGCATCATATCTTCCATCTGAAAGCAGGCGAAGGCGATTTACTACTAATCAAGGAACCGGCTTTACTGAAGAGATGCGCATAACATATCGTGCGATATATCACCCAGCCCTAAGTGAGAAGAACATAAGCCATCATAACATAATAATTTACCACCATAGGGATGGGTATCGTTAAAGCCCATGGTGTAGGTTAAACATCACTGTCGATTAATGGGTACATAAAGCAGTCAAGATATGTCTATAACGTTAGAAATGTCTCAAAAATAGTGTTAAAGTCCAGTTTTTGTAGTTTTTGGTTAGTAACGGTTATTTTTTACGCAATTTGGTGATGACGTCACATGAGGTAGACGTGGTGGAAGGTAGCCTCAGCCATTGAAAATGTTGTTTTGCAAACGTAGCCAACACCGAGTAGGCTGGTCATGTCTATAGTGTGATTATTGTTGATAGTGCCAACTAGTTTTCCTCGTGATTGATTGTCATTGACACCGTCAGGCTTACCGGGAGAGGGAGTGAGTAGTAAGCGTCTGTGTCGCTGTGTTTGGCAGGAGTCTGTGTGGGCGGTGTCGTCCCATGGAAACTGTGCTGGAGAGCTTGTGTTGTAGGGAGGTGAGCGCGTTTTGGTCGCTGGTCGAGGATCTCACCCCGTACACAGTACTTCTCCGTGCTGTCTCGCGGTTGGCATTGTGATTGTAATGCAGCGCCGCTAAGAGAAACCTACAAAATAACACATTTGAGAATTTTTTGGAAACTTGGTGTATGTATGACAAAATACTACAATAGGCATGCTAATAGGTACTATTATTACTATAAAAGGCATAATAATTTGCAGTATTATTCCATTGAATAGCACTGACCTGCTATACATCCCAAGGTATGAAAACCCTGTGTGCTTTTGCGCGAAGTGCAAGATGAGGTAGTGGTAAGCCTCAAGGGAGAAGGTCAAATATGTGTCCCAGCGTCAAATATGTGTCAAATAACACTGTGTCCCAGCGTCAGAAGTGGAGGAGGGCAAGGGCTGATCCCCAGTATCGACACTCTCCACAGTGTCTACATTGTCCACGGTCTCCTGCTGTGAGGCTTCTGTCAACATCTTGCGAAAACAAATATAAAAAAGGGTCAGCGAAATGCAAGGGTGTAGTGGTGAAATAAGAGGTGGGTACACTATGAATACTTAGAACAGTGATTTGCAACCAAGGGTACACGAGCATCACTGACAACAGTATTCTGGCCAGGATATTGTCATTTAAAAAGTGAAGTTGCAGCCCTCAACTGATGTTGTCATGTTGTGTTTTGGTCTGATGCTCCACCCTCCACCTTTCTACCAATCACGAAGTCAGTAGTGTGGAGGCCTCCGGGTTGCCAGCTCTGCTGTAGTTACCACAGCTGCAGCTACACACATTCCTGCTGGATCCTGCAGCCTATCTGGCAACCTCGAGTCAGGGAGGGGATACACCGCTCTACAGTCATTTGAAAATGATTGCAGTACCAGTTTTGGCCACAATCTTACATACAGCTTCTTAAATAAAAGATACATATACAGGTGCTGGTCATATAATTAGAATATCATCAAAAAGTTGATTTATTTCAGTAATTACGTTCAAAAAGTGAAACTTGGATATTATTTTAATTATAATTATATACATTTTTATAAATTTAATTATTAATTTTGATGATTATAACTGACAACTAATGAAAACCCCAAAATCAGTATCTCAGAAAAGGTTCAATATTGAAGACACCTGGTGCCACACTCTAATAAGCTAATTAACTCAAAACACCTGCAAAGGCCTTTAAATGGTCTCTCAGTCTAGTTCTGTAGGCTTCACAATCGTGGGGAAGACGACCATTGACATCTTGAACAAGGAGGGCACAAAAGGTCATTGCTAAACAGGCTGGCTGTTCACAGAGCTCTGTGTCCAAGCACATTAATAGAGAGGCGAAGGGAAGCAAAAGATGTGGTAGAAAAAAGTGTACAAGCAATAGGGATAACCACACCCTGGAGAGGATTGTGAAACAAAACCCATTCAAAAATGTGGGGGGGATTCACAAAGAGTGGACTGAGCTGGAGTCAGTGCTTCAAGAGCCGCCACGCACAGACGTATGCAAGACATGGGTTTCAGCTCTCGCATTCCTGGTGTCAAGCCACTCTTGAACAAGACACAGCGTCAGAAGCGTCTCGAGACCAAAACGACTGGACTGCTGCTGAGTGCTCCAAAGTTATGTTCTCTGATGAAAGTAAATTTTGCATTTCCTTTGGAAATCAAGGTCCCAGAGTCTGGAGGAAGAGAGGAGAGGCACAGAATCCACGTTGCTTGAAGTCCAGTGTAAAGTTTCCAGTCAGTGATGGTTTGGGGTGCCATGTCATCTGCTGGTGTTGGTGCACTGTGTTTTCTAAAGTTCAAGGTCAACACAGCCGTCTACCAGGAAGTTTTAGAGCACTTCATGCTTCCTGCTGCTGACCAACTTTATGGAGATGCAATTTCATTTTCCAACAGGACATGGCACCTGCATACAGTGCCAAAGCTACCAGTACCTGGTTTAAGGACCATGGCATCCCTGTTTTTAATTGGCCAGCAAACTCGCCTGACCTTAACCCTATAGAAAATCTATGGGGTATTGTGAAGAGGAAGATGCGATACGCCAGACCCAACAATGCAGAAGAGCTGAAGGCCACTATTACCCCTTTTCCACCAGCAAGAACCAGGTGCTAGTTCAGAGCTAGTGCTATTGCCGGTTCGGAGTTGGTTCGACTGACGAGCTTTCTAAGAACCGGTTTGCCTTTCCACAGGCCAGAGAGCCACCACAGAGCCAGGTCTTACGTCACATACATCTCATGTTGCCCAGCAACGCTAGCGCGGCAGCGCCAAACACAAACACACTCAGCTTGTTCGAGATGCATCGGCTTCTCGCAGACCGATTGGCGCATAACATCAAAGCACTGCAAAAGCGATCGAAAACCACAAGGAGTCTGCTCTCCACAAACTCCCGCAGCTCCGATCGGTCCGCGCCGCTCCGATGCATCTTGAACAAGCCATCTATCAACAATGGCGGTCGTTGCGTTACTATTGATGCTCATGGCTTTGTGAACCTAACGTACATCGGCATCCAAACACGGCGAATACAACGCGTTCGTGCAGCTCACCGTAACTTGCATAAACGGAGATTACAATCGAGCTGCTATTAGCTCGATTAGCTGCTATTTAAAAAA